AGGATCATCAGTGGGGTATCAAAGTCTGCCTAATTTTACAGACAGTATAACAAAATTTAGCTACATTCAAAGAAACTAAATCATACTGATCAGATAGCAACAACTATACATAAAAAAGATCAGAATTTCCCCGGGTATTTTATCAAATAGGGAATTATAAAATGGGTTCGTGAGTCCTTACAGAAGGTACAGTATAGCAGGACATGAGCTGTAGTTTCAATAGCCCCTTGTCCACAGGGGCATAATCTCAGCTCATAAGGAACTTTTTTGAATCAGCCCTCCATAACTGCTGTGGGAAGAGCATTGCAATGTTCTAGAGTTAATGCCCTTCAGAATGTGGGGCTTTACCTTTTGTTTAAGAAAATTTGGAAGCCATTATGTGGTATCAGACAGATTCAAATAATAGAGTTGTAATTCATAAAGAAAATCCTCTCTTAACTAAGATAATTGCTTTATAGGAAAAGGAAGCTAACCTCTCAGTTTTTCATTAGTGGGAATTCTCTGGGTAGAATTTAGTCTCCAAAGATGTTCTCCAACAAAATGGTCTCAAAAGATAAGGAAGTACAGGAGGAATTTTTCCTTCCGCTTTTTACTTGTTTACATGGGCAAGTCAATTAGGGCTGCAGCATATTCATATCTGCAGGGCTTTCCTTGGACCTTTTGAATCCTTGCTCATTTTATTGTGGATATGTCATTCCGAGCAATGGAATAGTACTGTAGATAGTCTTTTTTGTTGTTCATTGTCAGTGGCTGCTTGATATTTTTTTCATTTAATGAGAATCTGACTTGATTTAATTTAATTTAATTTAATTTAATTTAATTTAATTTAATTTAATTTAATTTAATTTAATTAATTTTCCATTTGAGAATCTGACTTTGTGAATGTTGCTTCTGTTAAAGCTGATGGTAGTGGTAGGAGGGCAAGCGCCAAAAGCTATCCGCAGTGTGGAGTGTTACGATTTTAAAGAAGAACGTTGGCACCAAGTTGCTGAGCTGCCTTCCAGAAGATGCAGGGCAGGTACCTAGACATTTTAAATGGAAGTTTCCTGCATGCAAGCTTAAATCTATGCCAACTATTTCCTTTTTAAAAAGATAGTCTCACATTCATAATTTATGAAAAGAGTTTCCTAATATGAGGATTTTAGAAGATAATTTATAGACATCAACACCTTAGATGAGGTGGACCACTTTTTTTTCCCCCCCAGGAGTTGTATACATGAATGGTCTTGTCTTTGCTGTTGGTGGCTTCAATGGCTCTTTGAGGGTTCGTACCGTGGATTCTTATGATCCAGTAAAAGACCAGTGGACCAGCGTTGCTAACATGCAAGACAGAAGAAGCACTTTGGGCGCAGCTGTATTAAATGGGCTTCTGTATGCTGTAGGAGGATTTGATGGGAGTACAGGTATATAATCTTATTACAGTGAAATCACCATATGGCCCTTCTTTGTATAAGGCATCTAGATTGTGGAGTGTAATCCTATTTTCTCTGAAACACATTTGGGCATCTTTTTTTTAATTCAAAATGGAAAACCCCATTATCGAACACAGAAGTATGATATTTAAAAAGCTTTTGAAAGTTTATTTTCTATAGTACAGTGGTACCTCGGGTCACGAACGCTTCTGTTCACGACCAATTCGGGTCATGAACAGCTCCGTTTGCAAAGTTTTGCTTCCATTTGCGAACACTGGATCGGGTGACGAACAGGATCCGCGGCCATTTTTCCTCCCGTGACACATGGTCATGGCTTCCTGTAGGGAGGGGGACTCTCCCTCCAAGCAATAA